GGCGTATTCAAGGAGGAGGGGTGGGAAGAGAGTAAAGGGGTCGCTTCTGAAAATTGTTTCTTAACAGCAATACGCGCTCTGCTCCCCAGCATCAGCGCTGCTGCATTTCGCTATGATTATGTCATTTCTCCCAATTCACTTGGTGAATTAGGAAGACTAGGTGGGTGAGTAGGGGAAGAATGAGAGGCGTCGTTGGTGGGAGAAGGTAGAGCTGCAGACCAGAAGTGCTAGGATGGGCATGCTCCATACCATCCGGTCGGTGCAACTAATTCGTTTACTTGTTGATATTATCAATTAACTAAAAAAAGATGTATTTCTGCCCCCACAGGGTAGCACAGCAAGCCACAGGAGGGTGACGAGGTGCTACAGATATATTTTAGCGCCATAATCTCACCTCATTCGCTGCCACCAAACATACAGGCGATAGCAAGTGAAGAAAAACAACTGTCGATACATCAGAGATAACCAATGGACCGTCCACTCATCTTTATATATCCATCCGCTTATTTAATTGAGTAAATATTATGAGACCCTTGACTTGGCACCTGATTCAATAAGAAACGTCCTTTTTTAGCGCATAATTATTTAACGGCTAGTCGAGCAGCGTTGTCGCGCTAAACACTCCTACGCCTGTGTAAACATTGACCGATAGCTATCTTTTGAATTCCCTGATAGACTTCATAAAAACAAATTGCTCATCGGCAAGGTCGAATGACGATTTCTTCGCATGATCCCTGTAAAAGCTATTCATTTGTTGGGACAAGTAGAAGGGCGGAAGTGGTTGAGTGGCAAGTGGCTCATGGAGCAGTTTGACTTGGTGGGGGCACCAAATGGTAATCATCGAAGCTTGCAACATTTTTTAGCTTCGCAATTTTCAACTAATCCTACAGAAAAGCTGAAACAGCAATTCGAAGGAATGGACACAAGAAATTAGCGAACTAGCAAAGTGCTACCCCCTCTTCCCTCCTCTGAGCAGAATAGCAGAGGGTATAATCGGCCTCTGCCCCTGTTGAGGGGTCTTTCACCCCCGCAAGGTCGAGTACTTGGTATGAAGCCTCTCCGATGTGAGTGGTAATATGCTGACCTGCACATCGGCTGACCTGTGCAAGTAATGTATAGCTCGAATCGCATCAAACATGCCACTACTACTCTGAAGGAGGGAGAATGCGTGGCGCATCCTCAAGGGAGTTTTCAGGTGGTCTCACATTCATCCATATCGGCAGCAGTTGGCTGCTCAACCATCTTTACAGCAAAGCCTGTTCTCAGAAGAAGAATTTGAGCAGAACTTGACGGGCTCCCAAAGCTGGTACTGGTCTCCTTCCCTTGCCCTGTGTCATAATCCACAATCTCTCCACAAAAAAAACTGCTTAGAAGCAAACTGTACACTCGCCACCACGGAACCTGGTCCTTGCCATCTATAGGGACAATGGGTCCACAGGTGCAGTAGCGTGCGGTGGCAACCTTCTCTTTTCAAAATTCACGGGAATGAGACTACAGGACAACGATAACCAGGAGCCGTCTCCAAATTCCGCACTCGATCAGCACGCTACTATCTGTGCCCTTGCTTTTTAGGCGCAGAACGTGGCCCGGTACAGTAGCTGTGGACCAATTCACTTCGCCCATAAAAAGGACCGTCCTGGAAAGTGGGGCACAGTTTGCCTTCAAGGCTGATGTGAGGCGGTTCGGCCAGTTTGTGGCTACATGCACAACACCGCATAACACGCAAACGAGGTCAAATGTTTGACGGGTTCAGTGTTTTGTCATAAAATGAGGCTACGAGCAGGTGCAGCACAGGTCCGCTACCCGCTAGGGGATAGCAGATGACGTCAATGACGCGTCATCTACCTTGTCATACAGGTACTGGGTTCCGTACCTGTATGACGTTAGCGGCTGGAGCTCTTTTTCGAGGATGTAAGAAGACAGAACTCTCCTGGAGAACGACAAAGAAGATGAAAAAATAAATTTTTATTATTCGACATATTATTCGACGACATTTATAGCGAAATCTGATCAACATGCTCTCCATTTTTCATAAAACCTGTATATTGTGTGCCTCATTGTACCTCCACCACATTATTGCGAGCATCACAGCAAACAGGGCCAGAAATATGCCAGCTAGTCCACAGCTCGTGACAAATAGTATCGCCCCATAACTGAAAGTAGCTTGGTTTAATGCAAGATTTCCAGAAATGTCATATTGTAGACGGCTTAATTCCAGAGTATGTTAGAGGTAGAATTTGATGGGAAGAACCAGCGGTAGCACGACTGTGCCACGTCATGTCTGCCTGTCTGCACCCTCTCGCCGAAGTGATTATTGGTCTTCGCCATGGTAAGGCTTCGAAAAACATGGCGAGACAGGTTAGACTAGGTGACACACCACATGGTGTATAGTCTGGTTCGCTCGGATGAAGGGGCTTGTCCAACGGGATGGGTTGGCGCGGCAGCAAGCCCGTTCTCTGTCGGTTGTTGAAGTGGGTTAGCGAAGGGCAGTGAATGTGAATACTAATGAAGACTTGTGGCTTGCCCTCCTCAAAACTGGTAGACAACGGGTTTGTCGCAGCGCAACACACAACCCGCTTGACACGCCCGTTCATCGAGGCGAAAAGACTGCAGTTGCACTGTTCGATTCGATTCCTCCCATCTTCCTCTCTCCGCGTGCATGTACCACCTTAGCCTCAAATCTAAACGCCTAAAGTTTGGCATGACTGACTTCACTGTCCGGCCGCTGTATTTCGATGTTTCCTGATCCGTCCCTTCGTCATCCACTAGTGGAACAGTGATTAGGTGCTGAACAAAGACCATTTCTGAAGGAAATCTGAGGGGCTGATGGCTACTAATGAGACTCGGAAGGAGTCCACGGATTATTCACCCTAGAGTGTCCCACTTGTGAAAAATTAGTTCAGATTTGATTGTCGTCACCTTTCTCTAAGATAGAAACCTCTTCATTCGATCCTCAACAAAGGGAGGGATTCGCTAAGGCTGCGTTCATACTTTCTGGCAGCGTCCATCAGCGACCACCAGCAACCATGCGCGACCACCAGCGACCATCAGCTCTGTCGGCCGTCTTTTGAGCATCTGTCATTGTCAGCTACTAGGAAAGTATACAGAGGGAAGGTGGGGGGTAGGGGGAAGGACACTTTCTTCATTCGCCCTTCAAGGCAAAACAATAACACTCTACTAAATTCTGACTGACTTTCCCGAGATCAACTTCGACAACACATTGTACACGATCACGAAACTCCGCCACAGCCTTCTGGACGAGCGCCATCGAGAGATTCTGCCACGCGACCGTGATTCGGTGCCTGAGTTCAGCGAGGTCGTTGATTTCTCCGCCACTGTAGACCATCCCGGTAATCGAGGGGGTTCAAGTCAGGTGACTTACTTGGGTATTCCATCCTATTCGTGTACTCAATACCCTTCGATTCCAAGTAGGCGAGATTTCCCACGCACACCGATTCCATGTGGTGACACCCAATCCTGTAGCAGTACGAAGTTTCCAAGAGGTACAGGCGACGACATGAAGGCAGGATATTCTCCTCGAGTTGGTCGATGTAACCGTCAGCGTTCACTTTTAGCCAGGGTCCACGAAGAAAATATCGGTCTTCCATTCCAGGAACTTCCGGTCCATACCATCAACCCGCGCCTTGGCGACTGTGGTGAAGATGATATCCTGACCGTAGCGACGTTGTCGGAGCTCTGTTAGAGGTCTTCCAGATCAAGAGTGCCGGTCCCCAGGTAGCTGTCCATGGGTGACTCCATACAAGAAGTTTCGCAGCTGTTTGGAGGTGATGTGAATTCCATAAGGCTTCTCTTTCTGTCTAACCTGCGAAAACTTAACTATTATGTGATTTAGCCAAAATGTATTTGTTTTGCCCTTCCCCCCTGTACAGCGAACGGCAGCGTCTAGAGCAGCGACTACCAGCGTCCGCCAGCGACCAGGAGTAGAGAATATGGGGATGTAGGAAGGTAGCAGACTACTGCTAGCGTACGGAGAACTGAGAGGGAGGAGCAACTAAGTGGATTAGGCGCCGTGAAACTGCGGCGTGTGCAGCAGCACCGTTTTACCACACACTGCAGTACTCCTGGTCGCTGGTGGACGCTGATAGACGCTTAATTGATATTCATCTTTCCTGGTCCCTCTAGACGCTGGCGGACGCTGGTAGACATCCTGTAGTCCGCTTTAGATTCGATATCTATATTCCGCTGATCGCTGACGCTACCGGACACTCTAAACGGTTAGTGCATAAGCAAACGGCTAATGGTCGGTGGTGGACGCTGCCGCAAAGTATAAACGGAGCCCAACGCAGTCGACCAGGAATTGCCTTCCCATTCTTCAAATTGCCTTAGCATTTCGCTAGGTTTTGCGGCACACACATCGACGTCGAAACAGGTTCCGCGATTCTGACGCCTGCGTCTCTGGCGCCAAGCGTTGTCCTGCCGAGTGCGATCGACTCGAGTTCAGGGAGTAAGCTACCACTGGGGCAAATTGGAAGATCAATTAGAGTTCTGACCCGAATATCGAAAACCGTGATAGTCAAGGGTGTATTGCAAATATCTCGGATTGGACAGAAGAAAATCACCGATTCCCAGTTGTGACGTACTTACCTCTTCTGCAGTAGTTGAACGAGTAGTTGTTGAGCGTACTTCTGGCGTTGGAGGTGGATGATGTTTTGTTGAGACGGGTGCGTGAGGCGTTGTTTCACTAGATGATGCTGGTGGAGGGGACGGTGGAGGAGATCGAGAAGGTCGAGGAGGTGGTTTATGTGTAGGAGCAGTTGTTTGTGGCCGAGGGGGTTTAGGTGGCTTAGGTGGAGGAGATGATGGTTCGTGGTTGAGGTCTATGGGTTGGCTTAGGTGGCTTAGGTTTAGTACGTGGTGGTTCTGTAGTTGTAGTTGGTTCGAGAGTTGTAGTAGGGGCTAGAGTTGTGGTAGGGGCTAAAGTTGTGGTTGTAGCCAAAGTTGTAGTGGTAGGTGGAGTTGTCGATGGAGGTGAGGGTGAATGAGGTCTTTTCGGTGACGATTTTATCCATGTAGGACCAGGCTCTGCTGCAGTAGATGATGAATTAAGTGACTCGTCAGGCGTCGTTTCTG